TATGACGGTTGTGGCAAAAGCTAAGAGCATGTAACTGTTCACGCTCCTCCAACACCAAAACAAACCATACACACAAAGAGACAAATTGGAGCTCCAGTCAGAAAGGAAAGGTAGAAAGGAAAACAAAAGAACTCCACACAGATTGCATCTTTTGTGTACCGCATAAGGTTTACAAAGCTACTTAAATATTCTTAAGATAGAAGAACATAATATTTCATACTAATAAGTAATTAAACTTGCATTTTCCCTGACTTAATGAAAACGGTAATTCTCTCTATTTAAGCATGAGCACAGCTATCACCAGGATTCCACCTTCTAATCATCCAGTACATTTAAGTTACCTAGTTCCCTTCTTTGGAACAGATAGCCCATCTTTGGAATTTCCACCTGCGATCATCGAATGAATGAAAAGGCCCATCTTTTTAATTAAAATAATCATGCAGAAAAATCAAGCATATAACCGCATGCGAGAAATTAAAAGGGAAAAAACATAACTTGTAAACGGTATAAAACTCATTGAGACTAACCTTCTGAATCTGCCTTCAGCTTGTCATTTGGATTAATCAACCCTCCTCTAACAGAAGGCTTTGAACCAGGCTCATCATTCGCTTGAAATGACTCCACAAATTCAGCATACAATCGAGCAGTCTCATTCTCAGCTCTCTTTATAATTAAGAAATCAGATAAAAAATTAATCAATCAACTCCCAACCGATCTCTAATGGTGTTTTAGAATATTTTCATCGAACAAGATTTTCTCCTTATATTTTCTAACACAAGCATTTAAGACGTTAAGCAGTAATTTATTGTTTGACAATAGAAGGAAACAAGTACCATCATAAGCAAAACGACCATAAGCACTTCAGAATACCTGTGCAAATTGAAACTTACACTCAAAAGTAAAACTTTTATGCATAGTGGGTATAGTCATCTTGATATATTTCTATCCTATCAAAGCTCTTAATTCGCATAATTATTCATAACATTAAAACTGGGTGAATATAAGTTTTCTCTTTAGCTGTACAAAATCCAAGTGTCTCCTGACTCCTGAGTGATTATTCAATCTCATGAAACAACAAACTTCAATCATTTGGGTCATAAAAGATAAAGCAACAGAAAGCACTCAAATTTCCTCACAACCAATAAGCCCTAGTCGAGATCCAGTAAAAAAAGAAATATAATAAAGGAAAACATTTACCTTCTTCTTGGCTTCTTCCTCTTCTCGATGCTTCTGAAAAGGAGTCTTCTTTCGATTCATAGAGAAGCTCATCTCTGCAACCGAAACCTAATAATAATAATAATAATAAATTAAACATTAAAACACATAAAAATTCACAAAATCATTAGAGGTCGCGTAAGAATTAACAAGCAAGTAAACCCTAACAAAGGGCGAAAGAGATTGAGGAGAAAAGCTTACGGATCCAGGGGTAGGAATTAGGGTTTCCGATGATTTTGGCGATAGGAGGGTTTCGATTCTTCTGAGTTGAGCTCGAGGAGAACGGAAAAAAAATTTCATGCCCAACCCCCACCGCCCCACACCCTCCGCCCCAGAAAAAAAAGGAAAAAAAGGTAAAATAAAAATCAAAAAGAAAAACTCCTCTTTGAATGACTGATTCCAAATGGCCTAAAAGATCGTAATTACTTATAGACGGAAGACAAATTGGATCGGTCGACGACGAGCTGGAGACGATGACGAGCGGGAGCCGACGACGAACACAACGAGATGGAGATGGAGATGATCAGGAGAAAGGTGATTTTTTTTTAAACTAGGGTTTAATTAATTGCTGCGGTAAGAGGGATGATTAGGAGTTATGGGATTTTGGATTTCGGGTTTCGGGTTCTAGTTGGGGCTTCAGGTTTGGTTGTTGGTTTTGTTAATATATAGTAATAGGTTAATTAACTTTTTAGTCCTATTTTGATTAGGAGTATCATCAATGAAGGTAATGGACCCCTTCGTCTTTAAGGAGACCCAATAACGACGGTATTAGGATCAAATCAATGAAGGGACTAGAAAACCGTTATCCTATCTCACATCATTCCTCTAATATTTGTAATCACTCGACGAAGGCTTTAAAACCCGTCGTTAATATATGCACATTAATAATGGTCAACTGGTCCCTTCACTAATTTTGGTCGTTAAAATAGAGTAATCTATGGCCTATATACGTATATAGTCAATCAATCAAACGTATTAAAATCATAATGACCACGATCAAAATTATATGGTGGGTTCACATTAAATATAATTTATAAAAAATAGTACATTAAAGTCAAAATCTTTTTAACAACTATATAGATTATCTGGAAACTTTTGCATATATAAACTATACTGCCTAGGAATGGTGATGTGCACATGTTTGTGGAAAAAATTCGATGTAAAAGAAATAAAAGAAAAATTGATTTGTATTCTCTCAAAATCGATTACAATTTGGATTCCGATTACAAAAGAGAGGAGAATGAATTTGATTCTCCCCTTTGTTTAAAACTGGGTTCTTCTTGGTAGCGATGGAGTGCCTCATTCGATTGCTTGCGTCGAACTTGCTCTCCGTTGACGATCCGACCGTACTATCTCACGAGAATGATTGACTTGTATGATGAATTCGGTTTAGAACTCTTAACAAGTTTAATAAACTCAGAACGAGTTGAAAACTCTGAAAAGAGTTGTTGAAAACCGAATGATCGATTTGTTAGATATAGGTGCCCTGCAGGCAATTATTGTATATTGTAACAGGACCTATATGTATATAACATCCTTGTTCAAAATGATAGTATGCTATTTTGGTCAGATTTATCTGATGTTCTAAATATAGAGATAATGTCCTTAGAATAAATACTAGACTATCAGACATTTCGGATAGTGATCGTAATGAAGAGATCTGATTAGTCGGTAACGTATATTCTAAAATGTTCCTAGTTGATGAAGTGTTGAGATAGGACATCATCACTTTGGTTTAGACTAGTGTATGCTTTATTTCTCCTTTTGAAGGAGATGATCAATCTCTTAGATCATTGATGTGAGACATCAAGATACAGTATACAGGTGACTCATTAGTGAATGAGTTGACTGAATGACTCGCCGAGAACATCTAGTTGGTAATATACTTAACTGTCAAATAGAAGTTCTCAAGTGATATAGTACATAGTAGTCTCTTGACCTGAGGCATGAGTGCAATATCTTATATGTCAGTAAAGATGTATTTAGACTTTTACCTAACCACAGTTCTTATTGAATTGTGCATAACGGTTCTTGTTGGGTACATCCCGAGACATAAGTAGATATTGAGATGCCAAGAAGGGATTCGTCTCTCCCAGTATAGGGGTTGATGTCATAAGATTGTTTGATATAACTATAGCCTGGAAATCCTTGGCCAAGGTGAATAAGATAAACTGAGTGTCAGTTTGATCTTATAGGTTATGAGTTTAATATCAATAAACACTAATCAAGCTATTAGGGTTTGACAGTTTGCCATACCCTAGGCTCAATAGTTTGACATGGTTTGACGAAGAGACCGGACTGTACGGTATTATCATTGAGTGGTCCTGATAAAATTGGATAAGCATCTTGCAGACCTTTATCACAACTTATACCCGGGTGGTCTTCATGTGTAGCTAGCACCTCTGTTGTACTTATGGATATGATCCACTACCGAGTTTTTTAAGTTGGGCCCTAGAGTCACACCAAGCGCGTACTTGAATCCTATGAAACACAATTTATGGAGTGATGCGTATGATTGATACGCATATATGATTTCTTCCGGATACACATAAACGGTTATGTATATCGGTAAAATCGGAATGCTATGTGCTTAGGAAATGAATTCCAGTATTTTTCCCATAAAGTTAACTTTTAGTCAACTAGTTGACTTTTTGGTCAACAGTTGACTTTTGGTCAACTCTTGATTTATTTGGTCATATAGTGACTAATTAGTTAAAGATTGGAATAATACTATATACCGTATTTATGAAATACTGTATTAGTGATAATAATTTGGTATTCTCATTTATGAAATACACATACCATGTATAATGAGTCATGAGATGAGTCACTTAGTGGTATGGTTTGAGCACATGGTTTATTAGCACATGGTTTTGAAATGTAATGATTCATAAGATGATTCATTGCATGACTCACTTGATTAATCATTAATTTTTGATGATTCATTGCATGACTCATAGGATGAGTCATTCATATCATGAACACATTTCACTCTATAAATATGAGCTCTTTTTCTTATGGAAAGGTTAATGAAAAATTGGCTAAGTGTTTTTTCCATAAGAGAATAAAAGAGAGCTCTCCTCTTACTAAACTTTAGCAATCTTTGAGCAAGAGGAAGTAGTAGGATTTTAAGAACCCCGGGGTGGATATCTTGCCTTGTGTCTTAAGAAGACTCCCATTTTATCAAGCTCACTTGAAGACTTGGAGATCCACTACAAGGAGATTTTCTACTACAAGGAGCAAGAGCTAGGGGTTATTCGATCTTCCATCGAATCACGCTACGAAAGTATGACTTTCTAACTCTTGTATGCTCACTTAATAATAAGGATCATGTTAGATTTAATTAGACGATCCATATGAATATTTCATGCTCTCTACATGCTTAGTATTTTTGTACATACATGTCTTCCGCTGTGTATTATGCATGTAGACATAGCACGATTTCCTTCATGGTATCAGAGCTATGGTTCTATCTAATTGAATCTTAACATGTACATCTAACTCATGGAGGACCTTGTTCTTGCTTCTAATTTCTAGTTTACATGAAACTAGTTAATTAATTCAAGTTATTTTATAAAATAATTAATTACAACTAGTGTAGTTGTATGTTAGAAGCTTGTTAGTCTTTTTTGAGTTTGGATAATCCTTATGCTATCTAGTTTCCAATATGTTGCATAACTAGATAGATGCATATTTCTTAATGTTGATTAAGTTATATGATTTATCATCTTGTATGGATGTTATGTTTATGGATGGTAGTGGACAACTATTCTCTTGTATGTTTTGTATTGATGTAATAAAGTTAGAAATGTAATAATTATTTACGACCTCTTCCCTCCCCGAGCATGGGCTACGCCTACGGGTTTAGGCACTTGCTCACCGATCATGGGCTACGCCTACGGGTATAGGCCCTTGTTCGGGTGTGGGGGGGTATGGTTGCTTAGTTTAGTTATTTCATTTATAGCTTTTGCTTTATATTTAATGCAATATTATTACCCATCCTACGAGATGGTTTTTCCATTATAAATGGGGCTTGCACGTCCTATGTTTATATGATTGTAATAATACAGAGTTTGCAAGGGAACAAGCACCGCAAGGAGTTGCATATGGCTTGCTAAAATGTAATTAGTGTAGTTGCATTTTATTTTCTTTAGTTGTCCACTACCATTCTATATAAGTTTTACATTACATATGTTGATATGTTGGTTGTGCCCCAAATTGTAGATGTCAATACAATTGGGTGCTATTTTTTGCAAAGTTTATATCTCTATCTCACTAGAGAATAGTTTTTATTATAAAAACTTATTTTTTAAAACTTTGTGAGACATGGCAATAAGAGTTTATTGACCATAGAGTGGTGAGATCGACATTAACATAGTGTTAGTGTGAAAGATAAATAAACCTAAAGCAGTTAAAAGAGATGTATTTAGAATGAGCTTTTAACTAGTGTCAAGGAAAGTAATTATGAGATATAGCTCATGGGGTGATGCCCAACTTAAGATTAGGGGTGATGCCCAATCTTTCGCGCTATAGTCTTAAAGAGAAGTGGTTACTTAATTAAGGTCCGATAAATATTCCCGGTGAATAGCTCGGAACCCTCCCACCAATCTTGCGCTTTCCTGGCTAGTTTAATTGTTGCAAGTATAAATATAGAGCATCTTTAAACTATATCAAGTTCGATTACGGTAAAAGATTTGAGAAATCGTCCGTAGCCCTCCATCATTTTAGTTAAATACTATTAAGCTTATAAATACTATGTTTGTTGGCATACGTCAAGGCATAACTATTCTATGGCTAAATAGTATTCATCTGTATATAAGATATAAGGATAGCTTAAGTTGGTTATGCAACTTTGTTGGCATACGTCAAGAGTTTGCATAAGTTAAATTTAAGCCAGTCAAGAAATGATGGGTACAAACTTGACTAGCATTTTATGATTTGTTGGCATACGTCAAGGTCATAAAAGACTAGGGGTAAAATCATATCAAGAATTACAAGAGTGTAAAAGACAAAAGTTGTCTACCAATTATTGAATGTGTTAATTTGTTGACATACGCCAAGGT